CTGTTTGTTCAAATCATCCCATTTATGGTATATTCTTGTCAGAGTGGCACTAGGTAACCACAACAGGCATCAAAGGGCATCATTTTTTTTTTGTCTGAATGGTGTATGGAAAATGGAAAATGGAAAATATATATCTTCAAGAGAGCATGAGTGAAAGAAATGACCAGAAAGACAGACCAAAAAAAAAAAAAAAAAGCAAAGAAGACAGGTGCAAGGAAACACTCTTAAGTTTTGAAATACATGCCACTAGACACCCATCTCTGGTTGTCACACATGGCACAAAACTTGATCCTTCTGATTCCAAAGATGACTTCTCACAGGGAGCACTCAGGCTACTCTGTGATGCTAGTGATGTGTGTGTGTGTGTAGGTAGGTGAGTGGGTGTGTCTGTATCTTTTCATATATTTGTTTTTTGACTTAGTCTCTGTTTCTTTGAAGTGAGATGAATATAGTTGCCCTGGCCATCTGGAGGTACTGCCTTTCTCCTTTTCCATAGCTTGGCCTGAAGCTAAGTAGCTGTATGTCTTAAATGAGTCCAAGTCATTTCTGAACTGTCGTGAAAGTAGTGGTAATTAAAGTGGCCAGGGGCATTGGAGTCTCCACCGTCTTGGGCTATAATTTGGTGCATGTGGATGGCCTGTGAGAACAGATGAATTCAGACACTGCCCTGAGCAGGGAGGTGACATGCTTAAGCATTCCCACCCTGCACGCCAGTGGCATGGTCCTGATTCAAAGAAGGTGTGCCCACTCACAGCACCTTCCCCCACCATCCCAGAGCTTCATGCCCCAGGGACCCCACATGCTTCTGCCCTCATGTCTTGTCAGTGATTTTGCTCCTGGCTGGCTGGCTGTCCACAGTTCTTCCAGTGGCATGAACTTAAGATTTATTTAGGCTGCTGGACTTCAGGTGTTGGTTACCATTCCCAGGCCCAGCAGCGTGTTGAAGGGGCACCTGAAGATCACGTGGTGCCAAGGAATAAATAGCAAGGGTGGCACCACAGGTTCTCGGTTAATGTCTTAGGACAGGGAGCTGCGTCCAGCACTCCTTATATTCCATGGGGTGGTGGGAAGGGTGCTACTTGATGTATTCAGTGAAGCTGGCCCTGAGGTTCATCGGATTGGGAGCCTCCTTGCACCACCCGACCTCCTCACTGCAATTTCTTGTACCCTTTCTACCTGAGGGATCTTACTCCTGCTTTCAACTACCTTTTTTGGGGTTTATGGAGCAGGGTAAAGCCTCTCTGTCAGGAATGACAATGTTTGATGAACTCTTTAATGTTTAGTCGATTTAAAGAAAATGTATCAGGACATCCCGATAGGGACAGGAACATCAGAACAGTCTTAACGAAGACAAGAGAATTGGGACTGAAGGCACATGGAAAGAAATGCAAACTGGCTGGATTCAAGGGGTGACAAGAAACCTCGGAGTTAAGGGGAGATTGACTTTTTATAAAGGTAGGGGTAGAGGTCTAGCTACTATTTAAAAATACCAGATAAAAACAATGAAGATGAAAAGCATTGTGCTAATGCTTTTCCACCTGCACAGTGATGTTGATGAGAACAAGAATCAGCTTATGAATCACAATTATTCTTCGTTCAATGAATTATTCCCTGCCCATGCTGTTTGCTGAAATTAAACATCTGTCATCACCTGGAGAAAGTGTTTGGAAACACTTTGTTCCTTTTGGCTTTGTTAGGAAGCACCTACTGTGCAGTTGCAGGAGCGCCTGTTTACTGCACACAGCAGAGTTGGGGAAGGCAGCTTTGCAATATGGAAAAACAACAGATCACATGCTGCAATCAGACAGAAGGAAATGTGAATCCCTGCTCTGCCAGGTGCTAGCTTGTTTGTGGTTTGGGACAGATTTCATTAAATCTGAACGTTAGTTTCCAGATGAAATAGAATGGAGCCTGACTACGTGGTAAGCCAAGTGTTTGTTGTTACTATCATCATAAAAAACATGGAAGTAATAACACCTATTTTGTAAAAATGTTTGTGAGTGTTACATATGGACATAATGTTTGTGAAGCTCTAGTACTGTGTCTGCTATGTAACAGGGACTCAATAGATGATACCAACATTGTCCTTGTGAAATCCTTAAGAAAGGAGTTCTCTGCAGCTTGTACAATTTAAACTAAACTCAGCACATAATCACATTCCTAAGGAGCTCTGCTGGCACAGTGATTAAGCACTCAGCTGCAAACCAGAAGGTTGGCAGATTCTCTCACAGGCATTGCATGGGAGAAAAGACCTGGCAGTCTGCTCCCATTAAAAAAAAAAACAAAAACCAACTCTAAAAACTCACTGCCATCGAAAAAAAAGCAAAGTAGAGAGGTGCAAGGAAGCACTCTTAAGACAAGTTTTGAAATACATTCCACTAGATACCCATCCCTGGTTGTCACACGTGGCACAAACCTTGATCCTTCTGATTCCATTGAGTCGATTCTGATTTATGGCAACTCCCTTTGGGTTTCTGAGGTGGCAAATCTTGATGGAAGTAGATTGCCCAGTCTTCCTTCCACAGAGTGGCTGGTGGGTTTGAACTGCCAACCTTCTGGTTAGCACTCAAATGCCTTGGGCGCTACCTAGAAAACACTGTGGGGTGGTTGTATCTGTTCTGTGGTGTTGCTATGATTTGGAGTTGACTTGATGGCACCTAAAAACAATGATTACATCCCTTAAAAAAAAAAAAAAAAACACAAAGTAATTGCACGTGATGGATTCCAGTGATCTTGGGGATATGAGGAGGAAGATTTTCAGTCTATCCATCCCAGCACACTATTCACTCCTTTTCCAGAAAATTCCCTTTGATGTTATTGTCCTGCCAGTCCTCATGGAGAACTCTGCTTCAGTGACCCCTGCCTGCCTATGTGCCAGTGTCTGTCATTTCTCTACAAAAAAAAAAAAAAATTACCATCCAGTCAATTCTGACTCATAGCAACCCCAATTGGGTTCCCACGGCTGTAAATCTTTGTAGAAGTAGATTGTCTCATTTTTCTCCTGTGGAACAGCTGGTGGGCTTGAACCACTGACATTCTGGTCAGCAGCCAAATGCCTTAATCTCTACCCAGCAGGTTTAACTGTGGGCCAACCCTGAGCTGTACATGCAGACCTAACATTCTGCTTGGCAAACAAGGACTCTCTGGTTTCTAAGATCCAGTCGCCTTTGGGAGAGGGGAGTGGAGACAGGCAGTTAATGATAGATACCTATCTATATCTATAGATGTTGTTGATTTGTTTTTCTCCCATGCTCAGACTGTGCCCTCAGCCTTTAGTGTCAGCCCTGGTCCACGTTTCTGAGTGCTGTGCACTGTTGGCTGAAATGGAATTTTGTTAACAGAGAGCTTTCATATTTCTGTCCATGCCTCTGACTGGAGGTCATGATGACAGTATTTGATCAGTCTGGAGTCAGAATGGGAGGAGAGGAGATGAGAACTAATAGTTTCCCTGGACAATGACTTAGTTTGGTACACTAAATCAAACCAGTGCAAAACAAGTGGACTTGTTAGAGGCTTGTTAGAAGGTGGATGGGCTCCCCTCCTTACCTTCCCCCTTGTGGCAGTTTGCAGGCCAGACAGGTGAAGACCACCAGGAGGGTTTGGGGGCAGACCTGTCATTCAGACACCAGCATGATTGAGTTTCCTTTTGTCAAAAGGTGGTTGCCTTTCTCAAAGGTTTCTGCTTGCTCTTCCATGCTTCATAGTTTATTTATGCACAGTTTGCCCTCAGTTATAACTGAGGTCCCTGGAGGGGCGGGGCAGGGGGCAGACTGTTTAAGCTAGACTCCTGACTTAAAGGTTGGCACCACTCAATGGTGCTGAGGAAGAAACGCCTGACAGTCTGCTTCTGGAAAGAATATGGCTATGAATGAAACACAGTTCTGCTCTAACACACAGGGTCATCATCATGTTGTTGTTAGGTGCTGTCGAGTGGTCTCTGACTCATAGCAACCCCATGCACAGCAGAATGAAACACCACCTGATCCCGCGCCAGCTCCACTATCCTTGTTATACTTGAGCCCATCGCTGCCGCCACTGTGTCAATCCATCTCATTGAGGGCCTTCCCCTCTTTTGTTGACCCTCCACCTTACCAAGCATGACATCCTTTTCCAGGGAATGGTCCCTTCTGATAACATGACCAAAGTAGGTGAGACAAGCCTGGCCATTCTTGCTTCCAAGGAGCATTCCGGCTGCACTTCTTCCAGAACAGATCTGTTAGTTCTTTTAGCAGTCATCATGAGCCAGACTCAATGTTAATTGTTTTTTCGCCCTCACCTTGTGTAGGATTTCTTTTATGTGTATCTTTTGTTTTCTACACAATCCAGTTCAATCACTCAGTTGTCTTCGTGCCACTTACGGGAATCACATATCCTCCTACCTGAAAATGTGTTAGGTTGTGGAACTATGTTGAAAATACTTACTAGGAATTTTCTGCTTATTTCTTTTTCTCCTCTAATTTTCTCTTACAGTACATTGCACATTCATTAGCCTTCCTTTATTTAAAAAAAAAAAAATTTGTATGTGTGTCAAAACTGGCATTAAACTTTTTGTCCTTTTGACTCAATTTTTAAGTTCTGAAATAATCCACAGGCCATGTTGATAATTTTAACTTACTGTATGCATAAATGTGAATTAATTATATGTTACAAACTGAACTCCCAAATAGTCATTGTATTAAATCTTTGTTTTTCGTTTTCTTTGAAGAGTGCTGTGCCTAGCGTGCTGCTCCACAGAGATGTATTATCTTCTTAATCATTAGAGGACCACGTATTATTCTGTGTAATTAACTTGACGTTGTTTTGTTCAGAAATTTAATTCATTCCAGATCTTAGCTTCAGAGCGAGATTTGGATGATGCATAATTTAGAAAATCACAAAAAACTACAACATAAACCTACATCGTTCCCCCTCCCCATTGCCACTTTCTTTAAAATGAAATGAAAAGTGGGGTGGCTTTGTTTTTGGGAATGACAATCTTATGTGCATCTATATTTTTGCAGTATGTGATATTCCTCTGTATGATATATGTGACTACAATGTCTCCAGAGACCAATGCAAGGAACTCGGGTGCTGCTTTTATAAAGGCGTCTGCTATGAAAAGGCAATTCCGAGTAAGTACCTGTGGTCATGCCTGCTCCCCTTACAGTAAACCCTAGGGCAGCTCAGGTCGACAAATGGTTGTTAATGACTCATGTTTTCCAGAGCTTTTTCTTGCTTTCCTTTCCCCAGAGTCTCTATTTGCTGGAAATGCCTCTTTCATTGTTGTCTGGTAAAATTACTCTGCTCAGTGTATTCATTAGTGGGAGCCGGAGGCCTTGGAGAGGGTTTGACCCAGACAGTTTTTGAGTATGGCTTAAAGCACCAAAGAAGTTTCCTTCCTAGATAGGATTAGATTTTATATCAAAGAGGATTAATTAATATCTATCTTTCTTGGAAGATTTTGGTAATTCTTGGTGCCTATAGATGTCTGAGTTTGAATAAACGATGCTACACAAACAAATTGTTTAAAGGAAGGGGTTAGCTACTGGCAGTTGGTTAAGGAGCCTAATCAAAACTGAATTTTCCAGCTAAGGATGCAAGGATAACCCCTACTGGGCATTCTCTGTAGGGTACATAAATATCAGACTTCAAACATCGACCCAATACTATTTGCACACCAGTCACTCAAGTGTGACTCAAGTTGTTCTAGGGGGAACGGTGAGAGCAGGTAGGCACTCATTGGAGAAGCAAGGCACTGGGAAGTTGAGGCTCATTCACCTTCACCAAATAGGGACCACTTCCCCCATCAGTCTTCCAAGGCTTCATAAAGGAAGGACATCCTTAAAAGAACTATAGTATTTCTAATTGCAAAAGATACTCATAGGAAGTGGGAGGGAGAAGGTGTGGAGAAATATAAAACTATAATGCTGTGGTAGTCAAAGGATTTTTTAATTATACTTTCAGGATACATTCTCACATGTTAGAGTTTTGGCCCTCTGTGCCTCTGAAATTTTTAAAATTAGTATTTCCAAACATTCATAAAATTCCACTTGAAAGTTCATGTTCTTCCTTGTCCTGTTGATTGCCCTTTTATAAATGACTGAATGGGGAGGGATAAACAAGTGCATGAAATGAAATACATAGAGGACCTGCCAATACAAGATTACACTCAAGAGGAAAGTGTGCCCCCTGCAGTTCAGAAAAGCTAGGGGCCTGTAGCTGATACAGTATCTACAGCTCCAATGCTCTGGTGGTGTAATGCCTAAGGCATTTGACTGATAACCAGAAGGCTGGTGGTTCAAACCCACCAGCCACTCCTTGGAAGGAAGATTGGGCAATCTGCTTCTGTAGTCATACCGCCTGGGAAAAAACCCAAGGAAGGGTTGCTATGAGTCAGATTCTACTCAGCCTCAGTGAATGAGTGAGATGCTTTGGAAAAAGTTGTTCTGTACTCTTCCTGTTCTAGGCTATGCTTTTCTCTACTCTTTCCACCCTCAATGCTAGACACTTGTGTAATGTGAGTTAAGAGGATTTCAAGGAGCCCTGGTGGCACAGTGTTTAAGCTCATGGCTGCTGCACGAAAGGTCGGCAGTTTGAACCCACGAGCCTCTTTGCGGGAGAAAGATGTGGCAGTTTGTAAAGGTTCCTAATCAAAATCAAATCCCCATCAAGTCCATTCCGACTCACAGCAACTTTATAGTTCAGAGTATAGAACTACCCCACAGGGTTTCCAAGACGGTAAATCTTTAAGGAAATAGACAGCCTGATCGTTCTCCTGCAGAGTCACTTGTAGGTTCAAACTGCAGACATTTCAGTTAGCAGCCAAATGCCTTAACCCCTGTACCACCAGAGCTCCTTTTTGTAAAGATTACAGCCTTGGGAACCATATGAGGCAGTTCTACTCTGTCTTATAGGATTGCTATGTATTGGCATCGACTTGATGGCAATGAGTAATGGGTAGGAGGATTTCTTCTTCCTTTTTTTCTTTATTCTTCTGTACCCCTCACTAGACTAAGTTCTTCATGGACAGCTAGATGCCATGTCTTCCAATTCCTTTCTCACTTCCTGTAATTAGTATGACTTAGAAAACTAAAAAGCATTAGTGACTGATGCGTATTACCAAATATTGACCCACTGGGTCTGCCTGATCCCATAGACTCAAAACCTTAAGCCAGCTTTAAGAAAATGATATATTCTGGGAAAGTGATTCAGGGGGAAAAAAAAAGCAATAAAATGATTTTGGCTTGCTCAAGGTTGGGAGCTCTATCTTGTTTTATGGAGAAGATTTGGCACTTAGTGCAAAAAAAATGACATTTGGCTTCTCCAAAAGAGGCAAATAAGGGGTCACCACTAATACTATATTAATTGCTAGGAGGATTTTATGATTAAAACTTATGTTTCAGATCTTGATTTAGAAGACTTGGGACCAAGCCTTCCTTAGTCTCTAACCTCTGCCTCTGGGAGAACCAACAGCTATAGTATTCTTAATATCCTACACCTTCCCTGTACTAGCAGATAGAAGCAATTAGATTACCTCTTTTTTTAATTATAATTTTTATTGAGATAAAATTCACATATCATAAATCTCACCCTTTTAAAGGACAAAATTTGAGTGTTTTTTGTATACTCACAAAGTTATACAACTATCACCAATATGTAATTCCAGAACATTTTTATCACCCCCAGAAGAAATCTTATATTCATTACTCAATCTTCATTCCATCTTTCTTCCAGTTTCTAGCAACAATTAATATTTTCTGTCTCTATGGATTTTCCTGTTCTGGACATTTCATGTAAATGGAATCATGTACTTTGTGACTGTTACATCTGGCTTCTTTCACTTAGCAAAATATTTTCAAGGTTCATCCACATTGTACCATAGATCAGTACTTCATTACTTTTTATGGCTGGATAATATACCATTGTATGGGTGTACACAGTTTGTTTATCCATTCATCAGTTGATAGACATTTGGATTGTTTCCACTTTTTGGCTATTATGAATGCTGCTGCTGTAAACCTTTGTGTACAAGTTTTGTGTGAACATTTGCTTTCAGTTCCCTTGTGTATATGCTTAGGAGAGGAATTCATGGATCATAATGTTAATTCTATGTTTAACTTTTTGAAGAACTGCCAAACTGTTTTCCAAAGTGGCTGTGCCATTCTACCATTTTATATTTGCAGCAGCAACACACAAGTGTTCCAATTTCTGCACATCCTTGTCAACACTTGTTATAGGCTGTCTTTTATTATAGCCATCCTAGTGAATATGAAATTGTATCTCTATTTCTCTAATGACTAATGATTAAGTATCTTTTCATGTGCTTATTGGTCATTTGTGTATGTTTTCTGGAGAAATGTCTATTCAATTCTTTTGCCCATTTTTAAATTGGTTGCACTGAAGGAATTGGTGAAAAACAAGGCTCTGGGAATTGACGGAATACCCATTGAGATATTTCAACAGATGCCCCACTAGAGGCACTTACTTGGCTATGTCAAGAGATTTGGAAGACAGCTACCTGGCCAAATGACTGGAAGAGATCCATATTTGTATCCATTCCAAAGAAAGGTGATCCCACAGGATGTGAAAATTATTGAACAATGTCATTGATATCACACGCAGGTAAAATCTTACTGAAGATAACTCAAAAATGGTTGGATGAGTATATTGACAGAGAAATGTAAGCTGGATTCAAAAGGGGATGTGGAGTAAGGGATATCATTGCTGATGTCAGATGGATCTTGGCTTAAAACAAAGAATACCAGAAAGATGTTTACTTGTGTTTTATTGACTATACAAAGGCATTCGATTGTGTGGATCATAAAAAATTGTGGATAACATTGATAAGAATGGGAATTCCAAGTACTTAATAGTACTCATGAGGAACCTGTACAAAGACAAGGAGGCTGTTTGAACAGAGCAAGGGGATACTGCATGGTTTAAAATCAGGAAGGGAGTGATCAGGGTTGTATCTTTTCACCATACTCATTCAACTTGTATGCTGAGCAAATAATCCAAGAAGCTGGACTATATGAAGAAGAATGTGGCATTAGGATTGGAGGAAGGGTTATTAACAACCTGCGATATGCAGACAATACAACTTTGCTTGCTGAAAGTGAGGATGACTTAGAGCAGTTACTGATGAGAATTAAAGGCTACAGTCTACAGTATGGATTCCACCTCAACATAAAGAAAACAAAAATCCTCACAACTGGACCAATAAGCAGCATCACAATAAATGGTGAAAAGATTGAAGTTGTCAAAGACTTCTTATTACTTGGTTCTACAATCAACACCACTGGAAGGAGCAATCAAGACATTAGATAACATATTGTGTTGGGCAAATCTGCTGCAAAAGATGTCTTTCAAGGGCTGAGAAGCAAACCTATCTTTTTGAAGACTAAGGTCCGCCTAACCCAAGCCATGGTATGTAAATCACCTCATATGCATATGAGAGCTGGACAATGAATAAGGAAGATTGAAGAAGAGTTGATGCTTTTGAGTTGTGGTGTTGGTGAAGAATGCTGAAAGTACTGTGGACTGCTAAAAGGATTAACAGAGCTGTCCTGGAAGAAGTGCAGCCAGAATGCTCCTTGGAAGTGAGAAAGTCCAGGCTTCGTCTCACCTGCTTTGGTCATGTTGTCATAAGGGGCCATTCTCTGGAGAAGGATGGCATGCTTGGTAAAGTGTAGGGTCAATGAAAGAAGGGAATGCCCTCAATAAGATGGATAGACACTGTGGCTGCAGCAATGGGCTCAGGTATAGGACGGATAGTGAGGCTGGCACAGGACCAGGCAGTGTTTCGTTCTGTTGCACATAAGGTCACTATGAGTCAGAGATGACTCGACGGCACATAACAACAACAAATTTGTTAATTGTCTTTTTATTAGTGAGTTGTGACAACTCTTTATGTATTCTGTGTACTAGACCTTTATCAATATAATAATTTTCAATTTATTTCTCACATTCTATGGGTTATCTTTACAATTTATTAATAATGTCATTTGAAGGACAAAAAATTTTAATTTGACAAGGTCCAGTTTATCTATTTTTAATTTAGTTGTCTGTGCTTTTGGTGTCATATCTGAGAAACCACTGCTTAATCCAAGGTACTACTCAGATGTACCAGTAT